TTTTTTTACGTCTCTCGATACTTATTTTTGTACGTAATAATTAATTATCGCATTATACCGATGTATAATATAATATCTAGATTTTTTTTTTTTTTGTTTTGTTTTATCTCGCGTAAGAACTTTATTTAGAATATTATTTCAGTGAGCAAGTAACTGGGAGAGCTTCTTCCTTCCCTTTTCTTTTCTCCTTTGGTTTGTTCGTTTCTCATTTTTCCTTTACTTTACTTTACTTTACTTTTTTTTTTTTTTAAAGTTGCACAATCCGCGCTCCTTTCCCCTCCCCTACCACGATTCAGATTTCTTTTTTATTTCTCTCTTTTTTCGTTTGTTTTAATTAATTAATAATTATTTATTTATTTATTTGCTTTTTTTTTCGTTTTCCTCTCCTCATTAAACCTCCCCCTTATATCGTTTTTTAATTATTCTTCTCGCGAAACTTTACAACCCCTCGAGTTTTTCATTCTTTTCTTGGCAGTCAACACAAGCGTTCCTGTTACTACGTACTTTTTTTTTCTTTATTTTTTTTTTTTCTTTTATTTTCTTTAAAATGCATTCCTGTATCTGTTTCCTCTATCTTTCTCTCTTTCATTCTCTTGCGTACACGCATACATTTTTCTTTCTATCAAATTTTCACATCTACACACTCAAACTTATTTTCACGTTTACGCATACATTGAAAACATTCATGCTTGGACGCACGCATTTTAATAAACATTCATTCGTTTATCCATCGCATTAAATTTTTTACTTTTCTTTTCATTTCGTTCCTTAACGTGTCTCGTCTTTTCTTCGTTTTTTTTTGTGTTTTCTTTTACCCCTTGATATACAATAAATTATAATATAAATCATTTCTATTTATATTTCAGTTGAGAGTGTATTTATTCAATTTTAATCATTTCGTTCAATGCGAAAGCACATTATGCTAATAAGTTAATTTTTTTTTTGTATTTTTTTAAGGTTTCAGGAGACAAATCTCGTAGAAAAAGAAAATGCAATAATAATAATAATAATAATGATAATTAATTCATGAAATGGAAAAAACTTTAGGTGAAACGTCAAAGATTAAATGCAACGTTCGGTAAAAGAAGATTTTTTTTGTGGAAAAACAATAATTAATGGAATATTTATCTTATTTCAAATTATCTTTCTTTATTTTTAATAATCATTTGTATATCTTCAAAAGATTGTTCCACTCGATAAATTGATTCGATATATTGGGTATTAATTATTATATTTCATTGGGTTTTCTTTTTTTTTGTTCTTTATAAAATACTTGTTTTTTTACTCTTTTTACCAGACTCAACACGAGACTAAAGTACTTTTGAATTATATAATGTATATATATGTAATCTCGTCTATATAAATTATGGCAGCACTAATGCATATTAATCATTTTTCAAGGAAAAGATTTGTTTTTTTTATTTTGCGTTAGAAGAAACGCATTCAGACGAGACAACGCTGAACGTAATGAATATTTTCTTAATTGTATATAACAAAATTAAGATATATAATTATAATTAATATATAATAATATTTATATATATTTATATATAATATAATTATTTAAATTCAGAAATTTATCTCGTAATAACCGTTCCATAATTATTTAGAACATTCAAACAACGCAAACCCTGACACAACGATTATCGATAATTAATTATTTAATTAATTAATTTAACGATCGAATGCATTATCTTCTATATATATATAATAATAATAATACGTTTTAATATCTGACATTAGTGAAAAAATAATATG